TGTACAAAAAAAAAAAAAAAAAAAAGAGTAAGTAGGTAAGTAAGGCAGTTTCAGAAGGAGTGAAGCCTTGAAGGATTCCTTGAAAGAAAAGATCTGTAATCCACTCACAAATGTTTTCAAGACTGTTTCAGGCTGAGATGACTCTTCTAATAAACACTGAAGAAATGACACAAAATGATAAGACAGACACAGGCCCAACCTGAACAAACTCTAATAGTCCACATTTACTCTTGTACTCTTTGAATCAAAACCAGAACACATTATTATACACTTTTAACAGGCCTGTGAGTGATATAGTACCCCAGGGATTAATTGGGACCCCACTTTTATTTCAATGGTGTTTCTGATGATGGGTGTTGACCTACATTTCTGGGAGTCCCTGTCAGGTTAGTAGGGCTGAAGTTCCTTACTGGTTGGGTGGTTCTACCGACACATGTCTCCGAGAGTTTCTGACAAGCTAATGGCCTGGCAACCCAGGGTCCTCTTCTAAAGTTTCTGTCTTTTTGGCCTTCCCTTGGAGGCTCTTAAGGGCTCTACATAAATTATAACCAATGAATTTAACAAACAGTTACATATTTTCACAACAATTCATAACAGATAAACATTAAAAAACCCCATTAATAGTTAATGTTTGCAGACACCAGCTAAAAATAGATGTTAAAGTGACTTACTTCTGGAGGCGGGTTCACAGGTGAATTCAAGAGCCAAGCAGAATGCCATTTCAGAAGGAAAACAGCTGTTGTTTTAAGGAATAAAGAGGACTCTTTTTTTTTTCTTTTCTTTCTTTTTTTTTTAGTTCCAAATGAGTAATTGACCCTGGGGCCCCTGCTGAGAGCTGGCACCTTATCTCAAAGCTATTTGTAACATAGCAACCACAGTTTTAGCAGGTAAAAAGAGAAACAGTTTTAACAAACTTTGTATTAACTCTTTAATTGCCAGAAAGAGAGAATCTTCAGTGCAAATGGGTTATTTGTACTATAGTGTCAAAATGTAATGAGGAAAGACAAAAGAGCTATATCAGAAAGATAGGAGTCAATTAACACAACATGCTGCTAAACAGACTAAGATTCCAAAGCAGCACTATACAGTAAAGTTCAACTCCCACCCTGACAGTGATGTTGAAGGGAGTGGAAACGTAGAAGATATGAGAGAAAAAGTAAAAGCCTTGTAATTTAATCAGATAATTTGGTGGGGGGGGCAGGGGACAGAGTCAATCTTTTACCAGGGATTGAGAGATTCTCAACGGCTGCCTCCTGGGTGAAAAGCGGCTCTTGCACCCTAGCCAAAACCAGTGGCCACAGCCCGGGTTAAAATAAATGGTACATTGGCACATTGACAGAACAAACAATAGAAATGTTGATATTTAAACTCACAAATTGAAGGTGTACCAGGAAGTAAATAATATATAGAAACAAAAGTGATTCCCAGTCCCAAGGATAGTGAACAGTTTACCAGAAAAAGAAGAGGAAGGAAAACACAGAGACCTCTCCTGGATTGAAATCTAAGAGAGTTCTCTAAAGGAACCTTGAAGAGATACTGAATAAATGCCTGCTTTCAAAGTGGAAAATCTGCAATTTTTAGTTTCTTTTTAATACCTCGAGACCAAGGGGGAGGTTATAAGCTGGTTAGTTTTCTTACAGAGAATGTGCAAAGTAGCCAGTTTTATTTTTCACTGTTGCTCTTAGTGTGGTGGCTGAAATTAAAGTTACTGAAAGAGCATTTTCAAAAATTACCCTATCTTATTTTGAACAAATTATTAGGCAGACACTAACAAACAAACGGAAAACCCTACAGTACAAACATTATAAAAAACAGATAGACCAATACAGCAAAATGACAAGTGGACAGGACAGAAAATACAAATGGAATTCAACAGACAGAAATTAGTCAGGTGCGGAGCCATGTCTGACCCCCCCACTCAAATGCCTTCCCAGCCACAGGGCCATGAAATCACATTTAACTCTTTCACTCACTCATACAAAACTCAAAACATACAAAAGACACACAAATCAGAACCAGCACAGTTGACTACAAAAACCAAGACAACCCAATAAAAGACTGCAATTACCAGAACAGGACTAGTCTGCAAATCTGAACAGTCCAAAAGACTGCTAATATCAAAACAGTCTAATAAGGAGCTGCAATCATGACAACACAAAAACAACACAAACATATACTAGAGGGGCAGGGGGAAGTCTCCCCTCTGCCTTGGGAATAGACTTTCACTGTGTTCAGCCAGTCTAGTTCCCCTAGATTCTCTAGAGATCCAGACAGACTTACTGAATTGGAAAATTTAGAAACCTGTGCCCAAATCTACACATCCAAGAGCTCCTGAGGCAGAGGGGCAGTGTCCCTCTGAGGCCTTCCCCTAGAGCTGTAGGCTGGGTCCAATGAATCTCACTGGGGCCTCCAAAATGTTGTACCCTTGCAACCTGAAAATATAGACTCGGACCCCCCTTATGTGCAATTCAATTGGAGATTTATTGAATCTGTGCAGGGGATGCGTCTCTGAGTCAGTCCATCCCAATAGTGGGCAAGTTGCCTAATATAATTTTTGTGTAAGCATACTACCAAAGGGAAATGTGGCTGGTTAGGGGAGTTTATAGCTTCGGTAGTCACGGATACAGCAATGGTTACAGTTATGTAACGATGATTAATACAGCCTTGGTTGACAATGGATATATCTTAAATCACAATGGTTATAGTTATGTAACCATGATTAATACAGCCTTGGTAGATTTCCTCCATCGTTTATCCACTGAGAACTTTGGGGTTTTTTGTGAAACTTGGGACTTCCCATGCTTTGACTCTGGGGAGCATGGGAACAGGCTGGGATAGAGAGCAGAGGAACCACAGAAGATGGGGGAATGGGAGAGGGCAGGGGAACAGAAGAGGATGGGGAAAGGGCTGGGAGTGCTTGCAGCAAATTGTGGGCTATGAGTAGTCACTCCTTTCCAAAGTGTATAATATAGAAGTGTAGAAAAAGTTTTAAAAAATAACTTTTCATTGAAGAAACTTGGCTAACATAACCTTAACTAAGTGATCAAGGTTATTATCAACATATTATTTTGGTAGAATGTACCCTGATATGTCATGATGATAATTGCATTTTACTTCTGTGTTAATCCCCCAAGAACTGCAGGACCTATTGGAAAGGGAGATCTGAAAAGTGTGAAGGGAATGTTCAGAACAGCCTTGGCTGCATTTAGTGAACATAAAGTATGTGAAGAGAGAGGTAAGGCAATCAAGATTGGAAAGTGAGTTGAAGATGGGTATCTGGATGAAAGCAGATGGATCGTGTCCACCCACGATGGACATGTGTAATCTCATGGACACAGTGCTGGCTGCAATCTGCACAGATGCCAGGTTCCCTGGGAGAGACTGTTGAAACCACAGAGCACTGTAGGGTTTTTACAGACCGTCTGAATCAGAAAGAGAGCAGTAATCTCACTCAAAAACATCTACCATTAGTTTTTTTTCTTTCAATTTGAGTTAAGTGAAAAAAAAAATCATAGAATTTTGAATTAGAAAAACATAGGCTCAAACTCAACTCTGCTATAGCTTTGGGCAAGGAAGAAAATGTGCAAAATGTAGTAACACCTAAGTCAGAGAATTGTTATGAGAATTGATGACATTTCACAGAAGATACAAGATACCTGGTGTCCTTCCCACAACTAGGACCAGAGAAATCATTACAATAATTATCATTAGCTGTCAAGAATGGCAGAGGAATGCTATTATTCAGTCTCCTATTAATATGGAATGATAAAAGATAACTTGTATTTCCTAGCAGTTCTTCTAACATGGATGTATCCCTAATATGGTGATCCTAAATTTAATAATCCTATTGTTAATCATCTGTTTATTACAATTTCTCTTCTCTCAAAAAAAATTATTACCTTAATGAGTGGTAATAGCAGTCTCGGGAGCCTTATGGTAAATCCTGAGAAAAGCTTCATGGGACATACTAATCAGGGTATTTCTTGAATTCAATGATGAATAAAAATGTTCTTTGTAAGTCCTTAAATATTGATAATACAATGAATATTGTCCCATCCTTTCTGTCTTAAATTCTTTGGTGTGTGTGAGCCCCTTTTTCTTCTTGGAACCCTTTTTCTTTGTTGGTATCTATGCTGTGGCCCTCTCCTTGATTTCTTCCCAAACCCCCGGCCTTTATTCCCAGCCTCTTGTGTGGCCTTTGCTTTCTTTGTTTCTTACATTTATACTAAGCTGTAGATATCTGTCCCTCCTACCTCATTTTCTTGAGTAAACTTATCCAATGTTTTTGCTCCATATTCCATGTGTATTTTAATAAATGTTAACTTTCTATCATATTCCTTTGTACTCAGTACTTGACACATAGTCAAGTGACTACCAAATGGCCCCTATTAAATACAGGATATTTTAAATAAAATGTGTACATTTATTTCTTGCACATGCTCTTTCGTTTATATCCACAGTTGCATTCATGACCATACATCTACCTACAAGCCTGTGTCATACATCTTAACACGTTCTTAATTCTTGATTTCAGTTCCTACCTCTTCCTTATACCTCTGAGCTCAGCCTCTCTAGCCCCCCTGATTTTGTTGCTGTCGCATAAATACTATTCAAATTCAGGAACTCACTGCTGTATCCTGCAATACTGTGATACCCCTTTTATCTGGCAGCTTGGCCTCACCTGCTCCCATTACCTTATAACTAATCCACATTCTAAATTATTTTCAGGGTGATATTTCTAAAATCATGATCATGTTACTCAGAGGTTTGAAATTCACTCATTTTGCTGTTTAACCCATATTCTGCCATTAGCTAACTTTTTACTTCCTCCCCAATATTATTTTCTACCATGATACTAATATCCCACTTTTCAATTAATCAAACTACGCAGAGTCTTCATGCCTTTTGTGCCTTTTTGCTCTTACACTGACCATTCCTTAAAAATAAAACGTCCTGACTTCTTTCACCATCTGTTGACTTCCTTTTCAGCCATCAAAATTCAGACAATGCCTTTTTTCCTGCAGGAAGCTTTTCCTGCTTGCCAAGTCTAACTTAGATTTCTCTCTTCCACCTTCTATAAAGACCTCTATGTATTTTTTTATTATCCTTATAACACTTAATTTTGGCAATGATCTACAAGGATATTCTCTCCCAGAGGAAAGGCAGTGATCATGTTTCATTCATTTATTTTTTTTGATTAATTATTTTTTATTTACTCTTTATGGTACTTAGAATCACATACTGGTTATAAATAATTAAAGTCTTCCTACATAGATCAATGAGTGGATGCCCAGTGATAATTACTCAGCAATAGTAGAAAAGATGAGTGGGAAAGACAAGACAGTAATAAGAGGCAAGTATTTAAAGAGGTGATGCAGAAGCCTAGAAAAAAAGTCACATGAAACAACAAGATTAACCACACTTCTACCATGTAAGACTGCATGTGTGAATGCACTTCTGTGTGTGTGTACATATATGTTAACATATAAAGGCAATAAATGTAGGAGTCCATTTAAATGGATTAAAAAACAGCCAGATGTCAGTTTTTATTTTGTTGCTGTTGTTGTTTCTGGAGTTGCATGTATAAAAAGGAAAGGTATTGCACAGATAGAATTATCACAGCCTAGGAAAGTGGGTGTCAATAATAAAAGTCAGTCAAAATTAGAATAGAAATGGATTTGTCTTTTAGGTACATCTTCTACATGCAGCTATAAACTCAGCCATTATATATAATAAATCAATTATTTATAAATGCAAACAATGGGGTATTTAGTCACCCCTTCTGATCTCACTTCTCAGAATGTTAGATA